GATTACACTCACCAATGAAAGGCATAGCACAAACTGTCTCCAAGTTTTATAATCACGGATTATCTCAGCCCTATCATTGTTCATAACAGTTAGAAAACCACCCCCAATCACCAAATAGAACTTTACTGGTGAATTTTTTTAAAGCTAGAAATTGCTTACGATATCACAGTTCCAAATCGTGAAAAGATTGTATGCAAGTCCTCATCCTGCATCAAAAGCATTAACAGTTTTTTTATAACACAGTACTAGGATGGAAAGCAAAGAAAAAGAAACAGTTAGAATGAGGAAAAAAGCAAAAGGTATCTTTCCCTCTTTTTGATCACTAAATAGTAAGAAAGACAAGATAGTAAGCATAGTACAGGGGTATATAACAAGAGATCCCCTCCCATTTGGTTTATTTCTGGCAGAGATGAATCTTGTGAGTGCATAAGAAAGATTAGTTCCTCCCTTATCCTTTTCTACTACATATAATATTTCAAATGAAGGACAACAATCATATTTTCTCATTGTCTTTTATCAACCTCCGCCCATCCACGGCATTTTGCATATTAAAAACAAGATTTCCACAATTACAATATAGAAAGCCCAAGCTATTTGTCCTCATTAGGGTTATGTTTGGATTGAGGAGAATGGAGGAAGGGGGAGAAACGAGATAACACTTTCCTTCGCATTGTTAGAAAGTTATATTTTGAAGGGAAGAAATAGAAAGAAATTGATTATCCTTCTACTTTCCCTCACACTACCAGGTGGTGTCTGGTTGACTGAAAAGGACTATAAGAGAGATGTAATACAATGACTATTGTATTGGATTCTTCTATTACCATATTTAGTTTGCTGAATCACAACCTCCAATAAAATCATGACTACAGCTGTAATCATAATTCAGGCCTAGAAGGTCGTAAATCACCAATTATAGCCTTTTCAGAATACTATTTTTTATAGAGGAAATTATATTCTTAACATTATTCTATACTAATATCCCCCAATCTTAACAAATAAATTAACACCAAAAGCTAGTGTTACATATGTGCAGATTCCAACATTTAAATAAATACGATGATTTTGACATATTCTTTTGTAAATTCTATTAATGAGACATACAAAAATCTCAATTAAATGTTAAAATTGTATTAGAAGCTTCTTATTAAATTTTAGGTTATGTTTGGAACAACTTTAGATTTTTTATTGAGATTATTTGTGTATGTATACAGTATACCGTGCTTATACATATATATATACATCGTATATATCTACCATATACACAGTACGCACACTTTATATAGGTGTTGCAAATACATTTCCAATATACTGTATATCTACAATGTATATACACTTTATATAAATTTTTTTTAAAAAAAGACTTACGTATATATACAGTTTACGTATACTTCATATAGTGTGTGTGTATATATTTCACAATATATATATTATATTACACTTACAGTATATATAGCATGTGTGTGTGTATATATTTCACACTACATGCATTATATTACACTTAGATACATTATATATAATTTGCATATAAACTATATATGCTCACCATATATATTACAATATATGTAGAATGCATGGGTATTAGCTAATGAAGCACACATTTAACAATTTCGGGTATATAATTGTTTTTGTATCTCCGTTACCCATACACGTTTTCAGTATTTCAAATGCATGGGCTCGTTTCTAGATAATGTATAATATGCATTAATATAAAATCATTTTTTCTCCATGTACTTTCTTCCCAATTTTTTAAGGATTCAAACAAAAGGGAGGGAAGTATGATACTTTCCCTTCCTTTGCCTCATCTCAATTTCCTTTTCCTTCCCTCCCCTTCTAACTCTCAAATATAGCCTAGAGCATACATAAGGCCACCAAGCCCCCCCCACCCCAAAATCCAACCCACAGAAAATAAACTAATTCAATTGTCAGAAAAAGTGGAGAAAAATTAACACAATGAGAAAACGAGGACATACTTCAGTGACAGGATTCAGTTTACAAACAAACAGTACATTGTCAGGAGGCTTTATCTCAGCATCAGGGATATCCCCAATCTGCAGTAGAAGTAAAACAATAAGATCATTTCATAATTGCCAGGCAATGTTTAAGAATAAATATGTGGATTATTTATGTCTGAAATCCTTACAGTCTCAAGCACAACTGCACTAGAATGTGCATCCTTTGAACGGAGAACTTCCTCAAGCTCTGCTGCACCTAATTGTTCATCCATCGGCACCCAATCATCCTCAAGCCTCACATTATCATCAACCTGGGCACAATTTCAAGTAAGTAGACCATGACGAAAAAGGGTTAGCCAAACATAATCATCATGTTGATAACAGCAAACAGTGTTCAATACAAAAGATAGCCTTAATTACTGGTAACATGTCATCTGACCTCTCTAACATGTTAAGCACCTTTATGCCTATTGTGAATTAAGTGTTTCAACTATTTAATGGATGCTTTCTTGTGGTCTGCTTTGATGATGTTCCCAACTTCAGCAAAACCAAAGATGAGCAGATCTTTCATTTCCAACAAGAGTACTCCACCAAAAACACCAGTATTAACTTTAAAATGTGTGATTTTATGACATCTAGCACCAAAGGTATCGGACTTCCAGGAGTGCTGAAGTTGATAATTAAGTTAAAGCTATTTAGGAATGACTAAAACTGAAACTTTGCATGAACTTAGAAACTCTCCTGACCCGGCATCGTACTGTGAGCGATATATTAAACGTTTGCACACTAGCAGCACTTATTACCAATTGCAACAAAGAAAGCTCATTTTTACTTGGAAAAAATGAACATTGTGAGCCTTTACATGTCAGCAAGAGATTGATGAAAGCCCAATTCAAGATCTTCCAGACTTCTCAAAGAGGTCTGGAGTAGCTTATGAAGCATTTCATTAAAAAAAAAGTAGCTTATGAGGGGTCTCAAGTTGGTATAGGTGGAGCAATTATACAAGAAAGGTGTTCAATTACCTAGGTGATAAACTCAATGAGAGTCAGCAAAGGTAAGCAACATACGACAATAAATAATATGCTACCATCCATAGACTACACCATCGTCATTATTATCCACCTCTAAGGAGTTTCTATTTGTGTTCCAATCATGAAGATATTAAATATATTAATTCGTTGAAGAAACTTTTACATCATCATGCCAATTGGGTGGCACCCAAACATAAGGAAATTGAGAACATGACACTATCCTCTTATTATTCCCAAAGAAAATATCTTTACTGCATGCTACTAAGTACATTCTGAAAATCAAAGAAATATTTAGGAGATTATCCAGCTTTCTCTCAAGGATGCAACAAGTTATGGAGACAATTTGGAACCAATAATTTCATGTGATCTTCAGCATTACTCTCCTATTTATTTCAAACCTTTTTATAAATAAACAAGTACATTCTGCATTTATTTATTACCTCGTCTTTTGGTTTTCCTTCTGGAGAAGCTTCAGGTATCAACTCAACCAACTGGGGAGGATCATCAAAAGGATCATCTAATATATATGTATGTTTAATTCTGTTGAAGGATGAATATAATATATAAATAAGATAAAGAAGAATAACAAGAGAAAACGTAAAACTAGTAGTCAACAAATCTGCATGATCAATACACACACACAGAAAAAACAAACCGGATATTTTTATATGGTCTGTTCTTCTCATCCACATAAGCTTCATTTATCCTACTTAAAGTTTCAAACCCTTCTGCAACCTCTCCAAAAACCTGAAATAACAAGTAAATTTTTCATTCTAATGTTTTATTCATAAAAAAGAAAAAGAAAAAGAAAAGAACTTGCATCACAAATTACAAGCAGATCTTTTCTAAAATTTGATTGTTTATAAGTGCTTTGTAACATAATACTTCTTATAGGATGACGCCACATAATCATTTGAAATGAATCAGAAATGCAATGCAGTTAAAGATAGGCAATAAAGTCGTAAAATTTGAGAACTAAACAATCACTTACCAATTAACCAAACAATCTACCTAGAGACAAACCTTCAACAGCCTCCATCAAGCCTCATAAGGCAAGAGAGTCACTATCAGGTATATCAGATTGCCATCCAAAAGTAATGACAGAAGCCTCTTTTCTTCAGGGTTAGACCTCATAATTAAGACTATGGCAACCAAATGTTGTAATTATAAACCACAAAAGGACCAGAAATTCCTTCTAATCCATGCGTCAACATTTTCACTTATGCTTGTATCTTAAACAAATAGCTCATAGAGCAAGCAGAGGTCATTGTTCACCCCAAAAAAATGTTTTGGATCATGCTTGCCTTAGCTTAAATTTTGGCAAGAGAGACCCTATAAGGTCTCTAACAGCTTAACAATTTGATAATGTGTTTTGACAATTAACAAAAAGCTTAAGTTTTACGACAATGGGTTTAAAGATATGGCAATTATTAACTTTTATTTTAAAAAGATTATAAACTCTTTAAAACTTTTATGTTAAAAAATTTATAAACTCTTTAACATAAACTGGTATGAACCAGATATACATAAAATGCCTTTAGACCAATATTCTTTATTAAGCTCGTATTATCCAAACAGTTCACAACTTACTTGTAAAAAAAATCCATACAGCTTATATGCTACTAGAGACTTTGTAAATTCCGTATCTCACAACTCTTAATTTTTAGGCTAAGCCACACACCACCTTAAAAAGAAAAGTAAAAGGCTTCTTAAATATTCAGAACCATGAAAAAGAGAGAAAACTAAACATGAGCAGTATTACCCTGCATAGAACATGAGAATAAAAGAAACATCCTAAATGTATAACGTCCCATGAAATGAAGTCTCATTAGATAATAACAAAGAACACAGGTGGTTGAGAAGACTCACAGTGTGTTTCCCATCCAGATAGTCTAGGTCATCTCGCAATGTGAAATAGAACTGAAAGAAAGTTCCTTGAGTAGGTAAGTGGCATAGAAATAAAATGACCATAAAATGACCATGTTTATTCAATGGCTGAGAATGACTCATGACTTTATGCAGCAGTACTTTTCTTAATATGGAATGAGCATGGAAAACTTTGGAACTTCTCTTCAATGATGCATGGACTAAAAAAAACTGTAATATAATTAAGCAAATAAAATAATGTTCCTTTTTCATTCAAAAAATACACATTATGAAGAAGGGCAGAAGAAAGTAAACAAAGAGATAGGATAAGGCTCCTCATACAAGAACAAAAGAATCTAATACCTGAGAAGCATTCAGATTCTCTCCAGCACTGGCCATGGCAACAGTGCCAGTCTTTGAATGTTTTAAGTCAAGATGAATTTCATCACTGAAAAAACGAGCCTGCTCACCATATAAAAACCTGGAAAAAGAACAAGTCATCCTGTAAGTACGTGATGCTATTTCAAAACTTAACCAATTTTCTCAGCTTTTACTACATAAAATTAACAACTGCATGCAGAAAACACTGATACTTGAAGTGAGAAAATTTCTTGCAAGAAATGTCAGCAACCACCATCGCCAACAGAAAATTGTTTACAATATTACAGCATAGGTTTGAGATATCAAGTAAAATACTTTAGTTAACGGTGTATTCTTACTTATAAACAGAATCACCAGAGGTTCCTGTTCCAGTTGGGTCGCCAGTCTGTGCCGTGAAGTCCTTTTGCACTGTGTGGAACAGACATCCATTATAATACTTAATCCTGCACAGCAGAACAAAAATCACAATATGAACTAATTGGCAACTTCAAATTCAACAAATCAACCATTGAAACTCGCATATTCTTAAGTGGATCAGTTTTGTCAAGTTTTTTTATCTGCTTGAACAAAATCATAATCAATATGAATACCAGTGAATGTTACAGATGACATTCCATCAATTTCAAATAAATAGAAGAAATCAAAGAAATTGATGTTTTTTCAAACTCAGTTCCTCATTAGAGGAGACAAAAATGTACTTGCCCTAGAAGGATGAATTTAAATATAATTGTCCTATCGATCTTGCTATTATACCGAAGGAATAATAAATAAAAGAAGAACTAATTAAAGGAGACAAATGTATTTCTGCTAGAAGGATGAATTTAAATATAATTGTCCTGTTGACTTTGTTATTAGACCGAAGGAATAGTAAATAAAAGAAAAACTAGAGAGAACCTAATCATATATTTTTTTAAAATAAAAATTATATTATGTACCATTGATTCACAAGTAGCAAGGGAGTGTCAACTGGTGTACAAATTATTTACATATCAACTAAAATATCAATAGGGTCCCCAAAATCCTCCATTGAATGTAGAGGATGATCTAAAACCAAAAAATCTTGAGTCTGGAACTATATATTCCTAATCCTATCAAAATCTTCATCTACCCCCTCAAAAGCTCTCTTATTTCTCTCTTCCAATACGACCCAAAAAATAACAAGGGGATGAGACCCACATGTTTCTTCCTGCTACTAATGCCCTTCCAGGCCCATATCTCATCTCTTACAGACCCAGCCATCAATCAATTGATCCCCAACAATATGGGAACCTAACCATATGGGAAAAGACTACATGAAAATTATGCTCCAATAGGCAACATAATAAATACACTTATTCTCTAACATAATCTAAAGCGAATAAAAAACTTAAACTAAACAAAAAATTGGCTCTTGATAAATTCTACAAACTGCTTGCAACAAGATTAATGAGCTCCACAAATCACTTGCAAGGAGATGGCAAGTTCAGCAAACCAGTACTTCGAACAGCAATTGAGTAACAATTGTCACTTGTTGCAGCCGGTTATCATGCACCATGAATAGAAACTATATACCTGAGCAACAACTTGTAACCAACTTCAATGAACAACTTGTCAAAAACTCCTTTTTTCAATTTTAGGAAGCAACAAATCTTTATTCCCATAGAGTATCAAGTTCAAACATTTTTATACAGTAATTAGTCCTCAACCCCCTAACAAAAACTGAGGTCGATAACAACTATGTCTAAGCAGCCAAATTCTATGGATAATATTCCGTATTAAATTTATAGAGTAATTGTCACTAACGGATTAATTTTCAATCTTCAGGCTGATTTTTTTTGGTTTTACAGACCATGAATCAGAGGCCAAGCGAAATATTGTTTTGATCTAGTTTAGTCTATTCGTTCGGTCCAGACTGTATAATGAACACCTCTACTATTTTTCTGTACTTGTGCATAAACATGAACTTCTATGGATAACAGATGCATGCACCAGACAGAGCTAAATTCTCTCCTTCCTTTCCTTCTTTCTCTAAGCAGCTAAACAAAATGATTATTGGTTGTTTCTACATATAAAATAACATTAAAAATGGATACATACTTGCAGAGCTTCAAGAAGTTCTTTGACGTTAAGGGGCACTTGTCTGTAAACAAATCAACAACTATGTCTCCCAAGCTTGTTACAATCAGGACTGACATCTTCTCTCCTTTTTCTGTAGGATTCCAATTAAAAGAGTAAATCTAGTGAAAATTCAATAAATTTGAACACAAAATCAAGACTGAATCCTCTCAATTTGTATTTCAAAAAAATTCCCTCAACTTCTTTTTACAAACACCCAATTCCAGTTTAAAAATTTCTTAAAAAGAAAGACAGACAGATAGTCTCATGAACCAGTCTTAGAAGCTCAGATGGGCACAATCTTTCCAAGCAAGAAAGCATGAGTGTATAATCTGGCAATCAGCATAAAGGGAACATCAAGAGTCTAAAGGGCTTGGATTGGTTATTTTCTTGGTCAAAGGTTGTCAAAAGTTAATTTTGGTGAAATGAAAAGTCAGAACATAAAAATTATCTGAACTAACTTTCTATGTTTACAGATTTAAATGAAAAACTAAACTCCTTTTATCAAATCAAAATACCCCTAATAAAGCAAAATAATAAATTTAGAGAACATTTTAATTAAAATAAGTAACCAATTGTCTTTTTAATTAAATAAGTATATTTAGTTTTTCTTTGACAAATTCTTCTTTGGTCATTTTATTAAAATTTCAACTTAAACCTCTAATTTCACCACACACTTACAACTTATTAGAGTTTAAAGCCCTTGAGAACTTCAACAATATAGCTTAAAACCGTATTTCCTTAAAAGCAACAAAAAAAAGAAGCAAATCCAACAAACCCTCTCTATCAAGTATCATGTATTCGCCCAACAAATCAGGACCAAAATTTATTACTCCCTTTTAACACAGCATTTATACGCCACTAAAATGACCACAAGGAAAGGAAGTTGAAAAACGCTCCGCTAACTGAGATCATCCTACTGTCTTCATCATATTTGGATCTTGTTAACATTTCTTCGAACACTTGAAAGGCATTTATAAGTAAATCTAGTCGTTGGCAAACATGACAGTACTTCTATCCATTCACAAACATATTCAACATATTTCCAGCTTTAACTAGAAACGTAAGCGAAACCCTAATCTAAACCAGTGAGCTGACTACATGTTCGATTTTACATATTCTCACCTATCAGATGGAGCCTGGCTTCAATATGAAGACAACGTGTATCAAACTTCCAGCTCTGGAGCTCAATCCTATCTCAATTTCTCGATAACTTCTTTTTTTTTTTTCCCACTCTCAATACCTCTCGGTTTTATCCCCAAATGATCCTTCCCATTCTCAAAAGCCTTCTTCAGAAATCCTCTGTGTCTCCGCTCTGAAATCTCGACTCTCTCTCCCTCCGAGCCTACTCCTTGCCGAATTAGTAATTACCCTCCTTTGCTTTGCTTCAAATCTCTCCCCCTAAAATTTGGTTCCCAAAGAACTCTCTCCTGTGATTTCAGTCTCTACTTCCGTCTCTCCTGCCCCCCCAGACTCCTTTTTATAGAGATGTCTCAGTCATCTCTGGCAGTCTGCATCCAAAGCAGTTATGGGCGTGCTTCCATCCTCTCTCTCGTGCATACTCAACAACGGAGCTTGTTTTGAGTTTTGAGGGGGGAAAGTCCTCCTAACAAAATGAAGTCTCTAATTAATTAATTATATAGTAATTAATTATATGTTTTAGTTATAATAATTTTTTAATTACGTTATTAGCATATTTTTTTAATAGTAAAAGTTTTTATTTTTATATAAATCTAATTTAATAAAAATTTTAATTAATAAGATTACATCTCATATTTCTCTCTATAATATTGAAAAGTACCATTAATTTATTCTAATAATATTTTACCAATTATGTAAAAATAATTTTAGATAATAATATATAAATTTTTTGTAAGCATATAAATTTTTTTTTTTATTATGTAACAAAATTTACTTCTCTTTATTATTTTTTTAAAATAAATATAATAATAAACGTAATAATAAGAATAATAACAATGTGAGTCATTTAAAAATAATTATTTAATATTTTATATTTATTATTTAATTAATTTCATTATTTGGCCAAATAAAATTGAGGTATCATATTACATTATATATATTTTATACATTACATATTAACTATATATATATATATACACATCTGTATTAATACAATATATACACTGCATAAGTACATTGTACGTGCATGCAGTATATAAGCAGTGTATATACACTACATAAATGTTATACCACAATCCATCACATATATTATAATAAATATTTATACTATATTTAAGTATATATATATTGCATAGATGTATATTGTATATGCATTATGTAAAATACAATGTGTGTGTGTATATATATACTGCATATTCAATATATTCTGGCGGTGGCAAACATAAGCCAAATTCTCTCGCATAACGACTAAAAAGAGAAAGTAAATGGAGAGAGATCTATCTGAAAAAGGAAAGTAGAGATTTTATGCCGTCTGCCGTGAAATTGAAATAGGAAAGTAATTTGCGGGTTGGAGGGAAAATCGAATGCCTGAAAATTTCAAATTCGGACAACCTCCGAAAGACAAGTTGTCACCAAACCAAATCCCACGTTTTTGCTCATTACTCTTTGGAACGTCATAAGATTAAAAAAATTCGTTCTGCCCGAAGTTACTCATTTCCCCTTCTCTTCCTTCTCCCTCTTCTCTCCTCAATCTGTCTTCTTCTTCTTCTTCTTCTTCTTCGCCAGGGAAAAGTCAATTTTTAGGGCTTCTCATTTCATATCTTGTTTTTTTTTTTTGTTTATTTAACTCGAGTGACGCAAGTGTCCGTACGAGACGAATTGTTTCGGGGCGAGAGGGAAATACGGGGAGAGGAGAATCGGGCATGTCGCAGAACGCTGTGAATGTGGCTAGCGGAGGGGAGAATGCTGGTTCCGGCTTCAATTTACCGGATGAAATCCTGTCGGTGATTCCGTCTGATCCATACGACCAGTTGGATCTGGCTCGGAAGATCACGTCCATGGCGATAGCCTCGAGGGTCTCGAAGCTGGAGGCCGACGCGGCTAGGATGCGCCAGATGATCCACGAGAAGGATCGCCTGATATATGAGCTCGAGGAGAAGGCCTCTCAATTTCATCGGGCTTTTCAGGAGACTGAATCGAGGTTGAAGATGGTTCTGGATGAGAATGTAAGGCCGCTGTCTTTTGGTTCTGAGTTTTGCATCTGTTATCTTCTTCGATGTTTCCTTTTTTTTTTCTTCGTTGTGGGAAACAAAGATTTTGATTGAATTTGTTGCTGGTTGATATCTCCAAGGGAATCAAATGTGGTTGGTTTGGTTTATTATTTTAAGATTTTTCAGTTAATTGAAGGATTAAGAATGGAAGTTGTAAGCTTAAGCAAAACAAAATTTGTGATAAAATGCTAGGCTGACTTTTCAGGAAATTTTGAGCTATTGTTTTTGCTTGTGGTGTTTGGTTGGTGAGAAAATTAGTGAAAATGGGAGCAAACTCTAGCTGTCATAAGCTTTATGGGGCCTTGTGTTTTCAGTAGAATTGGAGTTTAGAAGATGAATGAATTTTTATGGTTTTGTTGGTTTATTAGGTTCATGTCATATAGTTGGTTGGGGAAGCTTGGAGAGGAATGCGGATTGTGATTTCAAGTACTTCTATAGATGAGAAGTTCAGCTCTATTAGATGGGGATACTGGTCTGAATCTTGCAGCTGTCATTGTGAAATATAGAAAGATGGCAGTTGTAATTGAATGAAACTTTGGCTCTCAGTGAACTAAAACGCGTTCTGGAAGATTGTCATTCACGAAAATTTCTTTTCAGTTCCTTTTTTCTCGTTGGATGATTAAAAGTGTTCTTTTTTATTACTATGTATTTTTGTGCGTGTTGGAACAACCCAAAGAAAAAGGAAAAGAAGGAAAAGAAAAAGAAAGAAGATAGGTAATTCAGAATTTCAGATGGCATTTTCACCTTTTTAATCTGTGAATGATAATTCCGTCAGGATGTTTAAGCTTATTAATCCTTTTTAAGCTTATTAATCCTTTCTCAAATCCTGCAAAAAAAAAAAGGAGATTGGTCTCTAATTTTCAACTGAGAAGAAAAGAATTAAGGGTAGAAGGTTTAGTTTGGTCTCTATTGATTTTTAACGGTGAAGTGGAGTATTACAAACTTTTGATATTGTGCTTAACAATTTGAAATCACTAACTATATTCTTGTTTTTGACTAAAGATGAAGCTCTTGAAGGAACGAGATTCATTGGCAATGACTACGAAGAAGCTTGGCCGTGATTTGACTAAGGTGAGATTCCTCATATATCAATTTGATATGGCTTGCTAAAGTGAACTCATTTGCAAAGGGTTTTAATGATCTATGTTTTAATTTCTTATTTTTGTTGATTTAAGTGTTCTTTTTTCCTGCACAATAGTGTTTGATTCCAATATTCTTTGGGATAATATCTCAAATTTGTATATATTAAGAAATTATAATGATTTATTTAAGTTACTATTAATAAGTATTTTATCGATTTATTGAATTTATATCTATCCAAACCTTTTGTTAAATATTTGTAAGTTTAAGATATATAATTTATTTAAATATACAAAGGTAAAAACAAGTTTGTATAAACCTTCAAAGAACCAAAAAAAAAATTAAACAAATTTAACATCATAGGGACGTTTAGGTAATTACACATATACTTGTTCTATAGAAATTCATATAGACCAAATATATGACTTGGTGCTATTTATTTCTATTCAATCCTACCTTCTTTTTTCCTAATTGTATACCAAATGGTACCCTTAATTTTATCTCAATAAATGGAACTAGTACTGAATATTTTTAAGTATTTGTAGTTGGAGACCTTCAAAAGGCAACTAATGCAGTCCCTGAGTGATGACACTGCAACAGTAAGATACCTGGATCTGAAAGCTTAGCTGTCAATATTCATTTCCACAAGTTGGGTGTTTATTCTTTTACAATTTTATTGCATTGTTTGTTACTTTTAACAGCCAGCTGAAACTGTTGACATTGGGACTTGTGATCAGTCTGTTCCCAAAGCCTATCCGGACAAAGGTACCATAAAAGCTTATGCGATTAAGCCTTAAACATTTTATTTTTTTCTCTTATTAATCCATTGTTCTCTCTACTTCTAAGGATTAGCATAATTTTTGTTGGTTTTCAGCCTCTTTCCTCTTGTCGGTCATTATTTGATTAATATATTCTTTTTCTCTCTTGACATGTAGATGAGAGTACAAATGGCTCTGTACATAATTCTTACAATGGCTCTATAGACACAGGAAACCCAGTTGATGAGGGTAAATTCAATTGTTTTCTCTTATTTCACTAATATTATTCATATATTCCCGTGTTACAACCAGAAAGAAAACATAATGAGACTGACCTATAATATCATTTTAGCTGAATTATTTGAGGGTCTGAATATCTGTCTTGCTATGAATATGAAATGGTAAATGTGCTAGAGCTGGCTGTCATGAGTGATATCTGTAACTCATAATCCTAGCCTTTCAAATTAAATATGAAAATGAGTGGTTATTAATTTATCCTTTTTATTATGACAACAGAAAGCTGAAACTATTTCCTCCTTTTGTTTTCCCGGAGTTGGAATGACCTCAAATATCATAATATACAAAACAATATTATGATATTCAAGCTGCTATTAAATTCCAGTTCTTTGTTTATGCTACTGAAGTAGTTAAGTTATTAGAGGTTGTACCTGTACTGGCATTTAAAGCATGTCCTTTGCTCAACAGTCTCAAGGCATACTGTGAGAAGATTTTCAATGACTCCGTATATCTCGCCCAGACTTACACCATCTGCAACTCCAAAAATTATTTCCACCAGTGTATCTCCTAGGGTTTATTCTGCTGCTGGATCTCCAAAAAGAATTTCTGGTACAGCATCTCCTACAAAAACACAATATGAAGGGCAGAATGCACTATTTTACCCATCAAGCCAGCAGTCATCAGCAGCAAATTCCCCTCCTCGTGGGCGCCCACTTCCAGGTTTGTATCAGCTTTTGAAATTTTACTATCCAGTTGGACTTTGGATTTAAACATTGGTTTCTATATTTTGAAATCTGTTTTGCTGCTTGTTATGGGTGTATTTTTTCCTCTTTCCGCCTTTTCATGTCTGTGTATCTGACTTGTATTCCTCCAACATTTTAAATTGTTTAGCACGCACTCCTCGTATTGATGGAAAGGAGTTCTTTCGTCAAGCAAGGTTAGTTCTTTTATTAAATTGATGAATTCCATTAGTTACTGGCTCTTCAAGAGAAAGGAATTGATTGATAGTGCTAAAAGAATAAATTGAAATATTGTTCTTGTTACTGTATGAAGAAATAGTGCTTGTCTTTATAGAGATACCTATGAATAAGATAAGGAAAACAAGGAATAGAATCTAACTGAACAGGAAATCGGTTAAAATAGAACTTAACCATATAGAATATAAGCTATATAGTAAAAGAATATAAGATAGCTTGCTATTATCTAATAATATAAATGATGTATTGTTATTCTAACAGATTTTTTTGCCATTCAGGAGTCGTCTATCATATGAACAGTTTAGTGCATTTTTAGCAAACATCAAGGAACTGAATGCTCAAAAGCAAACTCGAGAGGTAATGAATTATTTTGTTGAATATGTTGCATGGTTTTTATTTATTGAACTAATAGAGGTCTCTAAATTTATGCTCTCCAGGAAACTTTACGAAAAGCTGAGGATATATTTGGGACAGATAATAAAGATCTTTATTTATTGTTTCAAGGACTGCTTAACCGCAATGTACACTAGAATATCTCCAGTTGAAGTGGTCAAGTATTTGGTATGTATTTCTGGTGGTTGAAAATTTTGGATGTGTGTCACAGTGTCCAAATATTGTTTTTCCTTTGCCCATTTCTTTTCATGTGAAGGTTTTGGATTACATTTCTTCTATTGACATAAAAGTCAGAAAATAGGGAAAAAGAATACTTCCAAAATCTTCTTCCTTTAATAAAAATAAAGCCTTGTTTGCTTCCTTTAATGCTTCTATGCATTTATGGTGATGGATTTTCCTCCCCAGAAATGGTCACTTAATTTTAGAAACATGGCCACTTTCAGAAATCTGCTTTATAGTTTTGAGACAGCAAAAAATTGCATCTACTATAACTCTCAATTTGGAAATTATAACATGGTGTGGTGTCATGTGCAATAGATAATATGATTGCACTGAGACCTCCTGTAGTGTTTGCATTCAGGGATATTTAGAGTTTAGTGTCTTGGGAAACAAACATAAAGGAACTGACTGTTGAAGGTTCCTCTTGTAAATTACTGTGACTATAAACAGGTACGGCTGTATCTATTGTGTTCCATGTTTTTTTGGTGAAATAGGCTATACTCTCAATGGGCTGAGCTCTATTGAGAAGTATCTGATGATCTAAAGATATATGTTTTCAGTGTCAAATTTCAAGTTATTAATGATAAACAAACATGTGTTATTAGCTAATACAGTAGTTGATATACAGTGAGGTCAGCTAGGTGTTCAAATATGATGTGTTTAATACTTGTACATATTTATGAACTTTTTTTCTGGTAGGTACTTATTGTAAACTTGTGCTCACTCAATAAAATAAATTGGTCCATCATAATATAATAGTCTAAAGTCTTCATAGAAATTACTTCACCGAAACTTTCAACTTCTAAGTAAGTAATCAACATTTTGTTAAAGGCACTTGGTTATGGTGGTGCCACTAACAAATACATTTAGGTAAAACAATTACCTTCATGTCTCTCAAAACTACTTTTGCAGTGTGAGAAGTAGCAACAACCCATATCATGTCCTGCTCTGTGATATAGAACTCATATCTTCTTCCTCTTTTTCGTTGTCAAGTTAAACCAATTTATTTGTTTGTTTTCTCTACTGAAAAGTTTATTTGTTTATTCTGTTTTTTCTATCTAGCTATACCTTGCTGATTTACTTTTTTCTCAAGCATCCATCAATTTGTTTATATGGAGATTTTCTTTTTCTACAATTTTCTTGTATAATGTGAGTTGCATATATATTTGGAGTTGACAGATAAAAATTTTCTGGATCTGCCACTAGATAGATAAACTTTATTAAGGACATGATACAACTAACATATTGAGATCCTATGGGCAGAGAAGCTCATATCTTCTGGTGATAATGTAGTAACTATATCTCGAGCTTATCAAAATAGTTATAATCTTAGGCTGTATCGGTACACTGGGTGGCATGACTTTACTTTGCCATACTTAGTGTTTGGCTTTGAACTAGCATGGATAGTCTAAGCCAAACTCACTGGTTGTGGGTTGAAATAGACTGGGCAAGTTTGATAAGAAAACCTGACCGGATCTATTGACTACAGTGAGGTTCTTCCTTTTAGCATATTTTTCTACTGAATCCCAAATTCAAGACCCTAAAAACCCAAGCCATATTTTCCTGCTTCTAATTTCCCTATCTTGTTCTAGGAACTAAAAATACCTCCTTATCTCTTTGGATATCCAAGATCCATTCTTTTGTCAGATCTTCTCTTCTCTAAGTCTGTCTCTCTGTGATGTGGGGAGAAGCACTATGGAGACGGCTGTTGCAGTAGCCTGGTTGCAGTTGGTGTTGCCTGTAACACAGTGTCTATTAATTTTCTAGACAAATCACTATTAGTCCTTTCTTTAAGTGATTAATGATTTTGTTGAGATGCTATGGTGTGCTACCATCAGATAGATTGTGGATTGCTATAAGAGACGAGTCTTTCTTATGGATAATATGAATAGTAACAGGAGGATAATCAGGTTGTTTTAAGTGTCATTATTTCTTATCACTGCATACGTTAGAAAATCAAATACAAAATATGGCAGTCCAAGGGGAGATCTGAATAAGGACTTTAAAAGGTTGGAGCTGACAATGAAAAATGAGAAAAGAGCCAAATGAAGGGGGCTAATGTCAAACTCCAAACCAGTTTGTACTGGTGTTGAATTTAAAAAGACTATCATATTAGAAGTTCATGACCTGTGAGCGTTTTGTCTTTCTTGAGAGATGATTCAGGCTAAGAATGGTTGTGATGGGTGGGGATGGAGGTTTTGCAGCACCAAAAGACTGGCAGTACTTATAACCAGTAATTTTGGTGGAAATAGAAATGTAAATAACTGAGAATAATGGTTACCACAAAAACTAAATTTAAAAAGTTAGCTTTTGATTTTTATTTAAGTTATCATTTTTCGGGTCTAATCGTTACTGTGAAATTGATGCATTTACTCATGTTGTATGCTAGTTTAAGGGAAAACTAGATAGCTGCCCTTCATAGATCATATCTTAAGTTTTTGGCCATATGATTCCTTATTAATTTGCCCCTGGAAGGCCAGGCATGGATGAGCTGATCTATTTTCAATATTGAATCATTTAAACCATGATTTTATTGATTTCTGATTCAATGTTGATTG